TCATTAGGACCTATATGATGCACATAGTTCCGACTCAAAAGCGATTGATCAGTTGGTGACCCTTCCTCGTCAGTTTTCCTAGTGTTCCTGAGGGGGATCACGGCTTTTTGCTTATGCATACAGTAAAAATGCAATATCTCGGCAGTAATAAGCTAGCAGCACGAACTTTTTTCAGAGTATTCATAGATCATTAGGACCTACATGATTCGCATACGCTCGACTCAAAAGCGATGTGACACTTTGGAAAGTTCCCTCGTTAGTGTAATCCTTACAGAATTAAAATCAACACTAAATCTTTACAACATACCTAATTTGAACATCCTATTCAAATATGCTTCTTGCTTCAAAGAAACGATGATGAGTTTTTGCCATTTGAAATATACTAATCATAAAGAACTAACTATGACACACATTCAAATATTTTCTTCCATTCAACGCGGAAACATTTAGTTGACAGTATTTTCAGCAAACCCACGATCGGCAAATAATCCATATCAAAAAACTATTCAAATATTTTGTTCAATTTAGAAAAACTGATTTGCAGTTCATTAGATTATTGAGGAACACACCATCAAGAAATGACTTATATCAAACAACTATTCAAATATTTTGTTCAATTCCACGGAATGATTTTTAGTTGATGAAATGACCCAGGTACACGCGACCAAGAAACAATTTATATCAACAACTATTCAAATATTTTGTTCAATTCTAAGGAAAGATTTGTGGTTGATGAAATGACCCAGGTACACTCAATCAAGAAACAGTTTATAAGAGCAATTATTCAAGTATTTTATTCAATTCCAAAGGAAGATTTGTAGTTGATGAAATAATTCAGGTACATTCGATCAAGAAACAGTTTATAATAATAATTATTCAAATATTTTGTTCAATTCTAAGGAATGATTTGTAGTTGATGAAATGATCCAAGTACACTCGACCAAGAAACAATTTATAGCAACAATTATTCAAATGTTTTGTGCAATTCTAAGGAAAGATTTTTAGTTGATGAAATATCCAGGTACATTCGACCAAGAAACAATTTATAGGAATAATTATTCAAATGTTTTGTTCAATTCTAAGGAAAGATTTTTAGTTGATGAAATATTCAAGTACATTCGATGAAGAAACAATTTATAATAACAATTATTCAGATATTTTATTCAGTTCGCTACAAAGGTTTATAGTTGAATATATCATTGAAGAATGTACCATCAAGAAATGGTTCATCTTAAGCGACTGTTCAAATATTTTATTCAATTCCACGGAATGATTTGTATTTAATGAAATGATCGAAGTACACTCAATGAAGAAACAATTTATACGCCTAATTATTCAAATATTTTGTTCAATTCTAAGGAATGATTTGTAGTTGATGAAATGATTCAAGTACACTCGACCAAGAAACAATTTATAGCAACAATTATTCAAATGTTTTGTTCAATTCTAAGGAAAGATTTTTAGTTGATGAAATGACCCAGGTATATTCGATCAAGAAACAATTTATATCAGCAATTATTCGGATATTTGGTTCAATTCTAAGAAAAGATTTTTAGTTGATGATACAATCCAGGCACACTCGATCAAGAAACAATTTATACGAATCACCTATTCAAATATTTTCTTCAATTCGAAGAAAAGATGTATTGGTTGGGGTATGAACGAGGAGCAGTCGATGACGGAATATTTCTGATCAAAGAACTATAGGGATATTTGGTTCAATTCGAAGCAAATATCTGAAGGTGATCATATGATTGAGGAACGCTGAATCAGGGAATGAATCATATCAAACAACTGTTCAGATGCTTTGTTGAATTTGAAGGAAAGACGAAGTTGAGTAATTCATCGAGAAACACTCGATTAATGAATAATTCATATGAAAAAGCTATACGAACATAGGGTTCTGTTGATAGCAAAAATTTGTAGTTGATTGTACCGTGGAGGAACATTAGATGAAAGAATAGTTCATATGAAACAGCTATTCAAATATTTTGTTAACTTCAGAGCAAAGATTATTAGTTTAATTTATCAGCAATACTATGACTTAAAACTTCAAGGTAAACGAAGAAATGGTAAGCTCGGCGATCATTAAACGTATAAAGCGTTCGACGTCTACATCCTTACGTGACCTCATTGAAGCCATGCAGATTGTCTCCATTAACATGAAAACAATCATGAAGCAAAGTATTTGCGTCAATACCTTCATTGGTCGTTGTTGTTTTTCGACGGTTGATAAAATACAAAGGTAGATGGATATAAAGAAGCGATCAAATGGTATGCTCACATAGTTATGCTTCGACTTTATATACTCGTTGATTATCTAGCAAGGAGAAATTGACAAAAAAATATTTTCTTTTTCGTTTCATGTATGACGAGAGAGAGAGATTCATTTTTTGCAAGCAAAGCATGTTTTTTTTTCTCGTAGGTAATGGGATATATTGTCGTCAATACAGAGCAAAATTATGCATATATTTTCATATTGACGTCCTTGTATGCATTCAAATAGTTATTTTCTCCTTTGTTTTCTATTCTCATGTGACAATGAATGATAAAAAAAAGAACCGTTAAAACAACGATTATACAAGTACGACATTTATTTACTCATCGAACATTCTTCTTTACTGTTCAAGAAAAAGCCATCTCTTATTCAATGAAAAATATATCTGAGAAAATATGAATTGTTTTTGATTGTCCATCTACAAGCCTAATTTTTCCTACGAGACTCCCGCATTTTGCACGAGAATTCTATTAAAATCAATTGAAAAAAACAATCTATTGTATTCATTACTCTTGATTATCTCAGTGGTAATTTGATTTTAATCCTTAATCGATTTTAATCTGTTCAATCAATTTTTAAAATATTGAGGAGTATCAGGAAGGTCAATGGAGAACCGAACGATTTGTATTAATATGAATCATTTTGGTCAAAGTATTAATTGTTAATATAATCATGGTAGATAAAAATGTCATGTGATATTTATTAGGACAGAAGTTCTAGAGCGAATATGATGTACATGATTATGAACAATATAAGTGCTGTTTCCCAAACATAGTTTACACAATTATTACTATTAACGATAATTAATCATACGTAAAATCATTACCTAATCTAGCTTCATTATATCAATATAATGAAGATAAGATCCATAGATTATTCATAATTTCCAGATTCTACGTTGAACAAATGAAACATTATATCAAAAATTGGAGAAAATTTGTATCATATAGAGATCTCAACGTCTCTACTGATGTTTCAACAAGCATCAAATTGTGTTTCATTCTCGCGTCATAAAATATGGATTTTGGATGAGGAATTCGTGAAAGAAGAAAAGTCTCGACCGATCACTATAAGATGCTTCGCATCTCAGTAACTTTCTGATCATTGTTCAGCACTGTGAAATATCTCAAAATGTAGTCAAAGATTTTTGTTTGTCAAGTTAATATAAATCTATCTCGCTTTGTTTGTGAACTGCACATACATGGATAAGATGAAGAACCTCAACAATGTGATATTGGATATATCTAGTTCCAACTATTTAATCATAGAGTAGTTGTTTCTTTTTGATATAAATATGTACATCTTTCATTACTGACAAAAGAAGCACATTTAAAGAACATGTACAAATTGAAAGAAATTTAGACCCATAAAAAAAGTATCGAGAAACGATAAAGTTATTTTCAACTACGTAAGGCTTCTAATACGTTCGAGAAATTCTAATTTTCAAATTGACTTTCCATAACAGAGAGGAAACAAAGTGTACTGATACGTTTTTCAATTGAAAACATTATATATGATAAATCTTGTTCAATTAACAATCAAGTCATTCATAATCCATTGGTACTATGCATTGGCTTGCAAAAGAAATCATTGTTTTTCTTTATTTTTATTTGAAAGAAAAACTAACGTAGAAAAAACGAGTTGAATTTGTCTTTTAGAAATAATCATTGCATGAGTATTTGTCCATTTGCGAAGAAATAATGAATACGATTTGCATCACGTATAATTATTTCACATTGACGAATAGCAACTATCATTCTTGTGGCATGATCTATGAAAAAAAGATTAACATGATCACATACGATAATCACCACAAATACAAAGATAAATTTGTCACTTGAATTCATGATGCATTGGAATTTTCAACGACCCAGGACGAAGAATCCGACAGTCGGATCGAGTAGTCGCAAAATGTCGGATACATTCGGAATTCGATGGAATCCTCTTAGATTCATATATGAATATTAGACATTTTTTTGACTCTCCCTCCTACTTCCCCCTTCAAATACATTGAGCCCCATATTAATAGTTTAAAGTTAATTTATTTTAACTTTTTATTTAATGCAAAATAAAATAAAATAAAATAAAAAGAATACAATAAAATACAAAAAAAAAATAAGAAAATTACGATGGCGTAGAAAAAAACTAAAATAGAAAAAAATAAATTAAGTTAAATTAAAATTAAATAAATTAAACTTTACAAAAATTCCAATAAAATAGAAAAAAATTAAAATAAGAATTAAATAAATAAAATGAAATAACATAAAATAAATACAATAAAAAAAATTAATAATTTCTACTTACATCTCATAAAATTCATGCCATAATATAATCTAAAACACACTAAAATGGAATAAAGAACTAATATAAAAGTATTTTTTCGTTCTACTCAATAGAGGGCGTTATAAATCTGCTCGATGGGAAAATGTAGTACGATTTGTTGACTCGTTTGGACCACTCTTCTATCTTGTTAAATATATGCAGATGTAGGCGTTGTCGTTTTTTAATCAAAAGAACAGGAAGAGAAGAAAAAAAAATCTACCAACTAGAATGAGCCCATGTGGTTTTTTCTTATTACTAATTTAGTGAAGTGAAATATTTCAATCTGGTTATTTTCAACTAATCAAACTATAAATAACTGAAAGTGATTAAAATGTTTTTTTTTTGTACTATTTTATTGAATATGATAATGAATAATAATTATTATTGTTACTAGATGAGTATGACAAATAATAATGCACTTCGTGAACTTAAACTTCATAGTCCAGCTGGCGTTGAACCAGCAATATTTACATGGCCAAATATTGAACAACAAGTAAGCAATTTATTTCTATTTTTTTTTGTTTTTGATTTAGTTATTTTTATTTAATAGAATACAAATAAAGATTCCGTGTTTGTTGGTGGTGATGAAATTGTTAAAACAATACGTTTAGTTTTTGAAGGTAAAGAATTTTTTTTATTAAATTAATTTGTAAAAGAAAATTTTTTTTTTTGTTCTTCATTTTACAAAAGATTATCCTGAATTATATCAACAAAATCTTGGTCTTGCTACTTGTGATATACATTCATATACACATATGAAAGAATTATGTGATAAATTTAATAAAATAATTGATACACATATTAAATTAAATCGTGGCACAGAAGCATTTTCAGCTCGTCTTGAAAAACGTGCAACATCAAAATTATTTCGTCATATACTTGCTCAAGTTTATAGTCGAGCTGTAACAGATCCTGATAAATTACGTGCTTATGAACCATTTTCACCTTCAGTAAATTGAAAAATCTTTCTCTTTTTTTTTGCAAAAATGAAAATTTTCTAATAATTTTTGTTTTTTTATCTCTTCATAAAGGTTTATGGCGAAACATCACCGGATTTAATTGATTCAATTCTGAAAGTTATTAATTTAACAGAAGATCAAACATTTATTGATCTTGGTTCAGGTGTTGGAAATGTTGTTTTACATGTAGCAGCATTAGCTAATTGTAAACATGTTTATGGTATTGAATATGAAGAAGTACCAGCAACATATGCATGTGCTATGGCTGATGAATTTCGTTCGTGGATGCGTTGGTATGGAAAACAATATTCAGAATTTCAATTGGACCAAGGAGATTTTTTAACACATGCAATGATAGATGAAAGAATTAAAGAAGCAGATGTTATTTTTGTTAATAATTATGTATTTGGTGCAAGAGTTAATCATGAACTTAAAGTTAAATTTATGAATATGAAAGGTAGTTAAAAAAAAAGATTTATTATTTCTTGCTTAAAGATCTATGTAATTAGATAAAAATTATTGGAGTTGATCATTTTGTAGAACGGATATATCTCTACAAAATTTGATTTTGAACTAAGCTGCAGCTTTTATCCAAGCATTTTTTTCAAGAGCTCTGCTTAACATAAAACAGTTGTTGATTTTTCAAAAATGAGTATTTAGGAAAAAAGACAATTGAGGTGTTTTGCCGAAGGACAAAAACAAACTTCAAAATAGTACATTTTGTTTAGGATAGCTTCTGATCTATAATCTGATATATACTGAAGGTTAACCAAAGCAGCAAGATCAAAGGTTCAAAACTTTGCATACCTTATGAAATATCAGTAGTTACAGAAAAAACAAAATATAAATACTCCAGCAACGGATTTTTCTTTTCATATGAACTGATTCATTCAGATAAATATAAGAGAAATTTGAATAAATTTAAAGCAAATAGACAAATTTATTATATATATGTATATGAGAGATAAACTGATATTTCTTTTTTCCTCCTACAAAGAATAATGATAATCCATTGAAAAGAGAAAAGTGATACATAATGATAGTAAAGTCTTTCTAAAGTTCGTTGAATAAAAAGAAAGTTTCAGTGAGAAATAGAAAAGTTGGGTATACTATCAGTGTGACATAAATTTGGTGTTCTTATGATTGACTAGTAAAGTTCTTCTATTCACTAGCGAACTTTAGGTGAAGTGGACAATTTCGGGATCTTTGACAGCCCTCTTCATGTATAAGCTAATGCATTTTGGAGGTTCCAACGACATCTTATCGAGATCTATGAATACGAAAGAAAGTCGGAGTCGAGGTTGAATCTGGCTCCGACTTTCTTTCATATTCATAGATCTTGATAAGACATCGTTGGAACCTTCAAAAATTCATCAGTTTATGCATGGAAATATCAAAGAACAAGACTTGCAAGTCAAAAAAGTTCTTATGCTAAAACTAAATTTTCGGCAAAAAATTTAATTGACTCCGTGCAGGACTCTAAATAAAACCCTTGATATTACTTCTTTGTATAAAATTTTTGAACACCGTGATCAGAAGTTTTGGTTAACTCTAAATAAATAAAGTTTCCATCCAACCTAAGTTTTTGGATTTTTCAAAAATGATTTTACTACTCTCGAACGAAATTTCTAAGTTCATCTTCGAAAAGAGAACAACATTCTGATCGTAAATCATAGCTTTTGATTTGTCAGCAATGTTCTCGATTAAAGGGAATGAAGAGCTTCCTCAAATGTTTCGACTTTCTTCCAGTTTTTTATAACGTTGTCGTAATTTTGGACAGAACTCGGGTTTTGAAACAACGCATCATGATGGATTTAGTTCTTTCTCCCTCCATCCGAAGAAATATCGACAATCCTTCTTATTAGAAATATTTTCTAGCGGGCTAAAAGTGAACAAGTATCTTGTCTAAAAACTTTCTGATCATTCGTTGTATACACTGTTATGAATGCTACTAATCTGTGTAGAGAATATTTTGTTCCAATTCAGTTTGTGGAATTCGTAAATGGAATGATAAAGCAAACAATTCTCTACAAAATAAAATATCTTATAGCTGTCTATGACAGTTTTTGTTTTTGACCGACATACATCAATCGTGTGGAAGACACAAAAAATAATGATTCTTGTAGAAAATAGCAGAAAAAAATTGTAGAATGCTAGAAGAGATTTCATTTCGTAGAGAATCGTTTGCTTTATCATTCTAGGTAATAGAACTCTAGAAAAAAATATTCATAATAAATTGATTAAATTGAATTTATTTTATTTTTATATTTTAATTAGATGGAGCAAAAATTGTTTCATCAAGAGAATTTTGTCCTGAAGCATTTCGACTTAACGATCGAACAAAAAATGATTTAGGAGCTGTTATGCATGTTACGTAAGAGAATAAAAATTTTTAATTTTTTTTTATTATATATATTATTTTTTTTTCTTTATTAGAAAACCAGATGAATTGTTGGGAAAAGTTAGTTGGTCGGATAAATCTGTTCAATATTATTTTCATGTTATTGATCATAGTAAATTAGCACATTATTATGAAAAAATACATCAACACCATACAAAAGGAATAAAAACATTGTAAGTTTTTTATTTAAAATTAATTAGAGTTTATTAATAACATAAAATTTTTTTTTTATGTTATTGAAAAACTTTCTTGCATATTTCTTATAAAATTAAAGATATGCATCAAGCAAGAACTTGACGAAGAGCGATGATTGCCGTGCGATCATGAATATTAAAATAATTAACCATCTTATGTTTACTGATTAAATATTCCAAAAGTTAAATAATCGTTTTTTTTTTCATTTTGGAGGAGACCTTCAGTATCTTGAGCAATTTAATATCCATAAATCTCTCTTTAAAAACAATATCTTTGTTTTATCCATTACCCATTTGATCAAACAGATTTTGTTATATGACATGAAAAACATCTTTGACCTTTGCCAATAATATTTTTTCTGTACGATAGTTCTCTTTCGTAAAAAGAATAACTAAATACATACAAGATTTTCTAATCATTGATGTTATATATCAACAGTTATATATGAAATGTCAAGATAAATAATAGTTTACAAATACATTATCTCAATCTTATTCTTTTAATAGAGTATACTAAACTGCTTTTCAAATGCTCTAACAAACTGCAAGTCAATTACTATATTAAGAATGACACTGAAAGGATACGTTTCAAATTAAAAACAATCGCAAAGATAAATTTCAATAAATATCTTAGTAAAAATTAAATTGCTTATGATGATTCCATATATATTATCTAAAGTAAAATATCGGAAAACATTTTATACTTAAAAGGTTTTAACGAGGATAGTATCACAGTTATAATATGATCTTATTTATAAAGTAAAATTTCTTGAGATTCAGATAACTCTTTATCGAAATTCTCTTGTTAATATATTTGAATCAATAAATTTTTGAAACTAAATATTTATTCTTTTTCAGTCATACCAAATCAAACGATGATGATAATTCTCTATCACCATCATCAAATAATTCAAGTTCATTGAATTCATCTTTAAATGGTAAAAATCATCGTCAAATAAAATCCATTTCAAATCAACAAACCGATGAAAATGAATATTCTTCACATCATATTAAACGTAAACGTAAATTTAATTCAACAACAGCAACAACAACACCCAATGTAAATGGTAAAAAAATTTATATAAAAGTTCTTCCAGATAAAAATCATTCAGATTATGAATCTGATTTATCAAATGATGAATCAATAAATTTTAAACGTCAACGTACATCATCAAAAAATTATCATTCAACATTAAATGAATTACATCCAACAAATGAAATTTATTATCAAACAAATAAAAATCAACGTTTTAATTATCGTGATATGACAAAATTATCAAATGAAAATCTTAATATTTGTCATTTTCGTGATTGTTTATTAGAAAAAGAAGATCAACAATTTTTAAATTTAATTAATACATATTTAGATCAATTTCGACAACGTCTTTTTAAATATTTTACATATATGAAATCAAATACATATCGTGAACATTTAAAAACTCAATTAGATAATGAAATGGAATTAAATAAAATTTTAAAAACAAAAGTTAATTCTTTAGAAAATAATATTAAAATTTTATTAGAAGATACAATTAATTTACTTAAATTACGTACAAATGAATTAGGTATTGAACAATTAGAACGACCTGTACAATTAATAACATATGCTAATGATATATCAAATAAACATAAAGAATTACGTTCAAAAGTTGCAACACTTGAAAAAGAAATAGCTGAATATAATTATGAGAATGAAAAATTAAATCTTATTTTAGAATCTATACCAACAAATGAACATCATTTATCAACATTAATACATTCAATTAATGATAATACTTATTCAACATTATTAGCAAATATGAGTAGACAAACTCAACAACAAGAAAGTAATAAACAATCATACTCACCAATAAGTCCAATATCATCAAATGATAAAGATATGCCATTTACATCGACAGAATATTCATCATATTCAAATCAAAGTAAAATAAATATGTCTTTCATATAAAAAATTTTATCAATAAAATAATCATTCGTAATCGTTCGAAACTGAGATTTATATAGATTTTTTTTTTTTGAAGATATTTTTGTAAAATGTTTTTTCTTTTATATTTATTATTCTATTCTAATTAAGGATTTGTAAATTGGTTATTGTTATTTATGATTATGATAAAAATCTTTGAATGAATCTAGTTGTATTTCCACTATCGAATTTGATGACTTATCTTGAATCAAGATTTGCAGAGCAATTTCCGTCCCATCGAATGATATATAAGAAATCAAGTTTTTTTTTTCAAATTTTAATGTACTCAGGGTTTATATACGGGTTATAATCCTTAAGGAGTACACTATATGGTATCCAAAGACATTCTGGTCTCTATAATAAACTTATGCAAATTTTGTTTTTTTTTTCAAAATTCAATTCGATACAATTATAGGTGCTCTACAGTTTTTTATAATCAATAGTTGTTATCCTTGCTTTCTTTATATGGTCCCTATTCTTAGGTTTAGATTATTTCTTAACTATATGATTTTCCAGTGTATTCAACTCTATACCACAGAACAAGTGAGTACTAACGTGAAACTTTCTCAAAAATTGTGCGCTATCGAACTTGATCTATTTCATAGATAAAATCTTTCAGAAGAGCAAGAACTCATTGTCTCCCTAGAATAGCTTATCCTTGTATATGAAGGGGCCATTTTAACAAATACTCAATAGTCCTATGAAAAATTTTTATGCACTCATAATGAGTACAGCATATCTGATATAAATAATTCCTGCACAAAAGAAAAAAATGTTTTGGTCTCCAGACTCCTTCCACGAGTCTAAAGACCAAAAATTTTTCCCTTTTGTACAGGAGTTATTTATATTAGTTCACCATGGATGCTATGCTGATTATTAGTGCAGAGGAAATTTTTCATAGGATCATTGAGTATTGTCAAAATATCGTCAATATACGAAAATAGATTATTCTAGGGGACAATCAATTCCTACTCTTCCGAAAGATTTTATCTATGAAATCGATCAAGTTTAATAGTGTACAATTTTTGAGAAAGCTTCACATTGGTACTCATCTGCTCCACGGTACAGCGTTCAACACACTAGAATATCATATAGACTAAGAATTAATCTACACCTAAGAAAAGAAATCATATGAAGAAAGCTACGATGAAAAATATTGATTATAAAAAATTGAAGAGCATCTATAACTGTGTAGAATTGAGTTTAAACAACGAATTTCATATAAGTTTGTCTTAGAACATGTTCGGGACTACAATATCTATGAGTACCGTATATAGACTCCCCAGCTAGAGTCCATTGGGTCCAAAAATTTCTGGACCCGGATCCGATCGATTAAATTTTTTTTAAGACCCAGAACCGATCCGGACCCGAACTTTAGCAGTGAAAGTTTAAAAATCTGGACCCGGACGCGACGGACTCTACCCCCAGTGCATCAAAATTTTCATAAAATTTGATTTCTTATATATCATTCGATAGATCACCGAATCGGGTGGGATCTTTTTATCAAAACATCGGCTAAAAAATGCCTTTTCCGGTTTTTGCGATGCTTTTAATTTTTTAAAAGAAGGTCGTAAAGAATGTAGCAACCCATCATGTCGTTCAGAATTTTGTACTCTTTGAAATGGCATTGTTAAAGAATAGCTTCGATAAAATCTTCTCACACCTGAAACTATCGTGCCCGATTTCTTAGAAATCTATCATTATAGAGAAAAAAAATCGAAAATACGTTGTTGTTGTTGCTAAATTTTTTTTCATCGCTCTACATAATAATAATAGAAAAGATCTTACTCGAGCTATATTGATTTATCAGAAAGGAGCAAAGTTTATCTGAAGACAAACATTGTTCAGTATGGAATTAGATCTCATTCAAAAAGAAAACAAGAATTGTATCTGAATCACTTTTTTTTATTATTTCAGTTCCCGCATCATCACATGATATTGTTAAAACTGAACGAAAATCCAGTTTTACTATACCGAAGAAAGTAAAGAAAACTTCTAATTTAAATTCCGATAGTAATACTGTTGTTTCATCAATTAAAACCACTGATAAACATAATCGATTACAAGATTCATTATCTCAGCCTCCGCCTCCTCCACCATCATCAACTGTTTCTACAAGTATCAATAATCTTTTATCGAGTAAACAACTTGAACCTGTTCAAGTTCACTCAGTTGTATCATCAGTTGGACAACAAACTAAACAACAACCGCAACAACAATCTGTTATTCAATCGGTTAATGTTAAGCCATTATTAAATAATTCTCCGTCATCATCATCAAATACAAAATCATCACACTTATCATCAAATGAAATAAAGTTAGTATTATAATTTTATCGATGTATCTTTGTTTTTTTTTTATTTGCATATTCTGCTCTTTTTTTTGAAGTCGAACAATGATGGCACAATCTCCTCGTAAAAAACGTGATTTTTATGGAAAATCATCAGGTTCATCAACAGCATCAACTCCACCATCATCATCAACTTCATCACCAAACAGTAAATCTTATCGCCATATGAGCATAACAGATTCATCGTCTTCAAACAAAAATCGTCCTTCATCAACACCGGCATGTACAACAACTATACGTACACCTAATTTGCCCGATCGACCCGTCTCTATTCCTCCATTAAAAACTTCATCTTAGTTTTCATATGTCTATATAGACAAATAACAAGAACAAGTTTCTTTTTTGTTGTCTAACTTTTTCTCAGGTATAGAAAAATTCTATTGTTCAATTTATTATGTATGTATTGAGCTGTATCAGTTATATTGTTGTGGTTTGTTTTATTTATCTATCATGATCGTTTGTTTGTTTATTTTTCTCTGCCTAAAGAATCCATCAATTAGTGATTGAAGAAAGTTTTGTTCTATCATATATTCTTGAGATGTTCATTCTGTTTTGCATTTATTTTGACATAGTCTCATGCAGTATACATATATAAATACATATACATATATTCATGATTGTTGTGTGACTAGTATATTGTCAATCCATTCTTTTTTGTTCGACAATAAAAAGAAGAACACATAGAAGAATATTTTTAATGAAAAATGAACTCATAAAATAGTTTAAACCATAGATGGAACCGATCTAATTAGTTTTTTGATAATCAGTACTGGCACCGATCTGTAAAAATCAGACTGAATCGGACCGATCGGTATAGTGGTTTGATCGGTCTACCAGTAATCAAGGCCCTAGCCAGGGGCGTGCAAGAGGATGTGGTTATGGGTAGGATGTGAATGTGTGGGTGTTACTCTTCGCATTACTCACACCCTCAGACATTAGACTTGTTCAATGTCAGTAAAAAAAAGTCATCATTTTGAAAACACGATCACTTCCACGTAAAATACCCGAAACAGCGGCTACGATTCCTACATTTTGATTATTAAAAACTGGTTTTTATTGGAAATAAACATGATTTTTGGGATCAGCATGCGAAAATACATCGATAACTATATTTCATCGTAAAATATCTCTAATTAAAATTCTCACTCTACTCCCCTTAGCATTTATGCGCAAAATTTTAGGCTGTACTCCTACGCACAAAATTTGATTGGGCGTCTTTCTCAATGAAATATAGAGTTTTCAGTGTATTTTTGCATGCTGGTTCCGAAAATCATATTTATTTCCAGTAAAAGCTAATTTTTGATAATCAATATATAGAAATAGTAGTCGTTGTTCTGAGTATTTTTACGTGGAAGTGATCATGTTTTAAAAACGATGATTTTTTTTTTGCTAACATTGAACAAGTCTAATGTCTGATTGTTTTATCTCATATAGTCACACCACTCACAACCATAACATAGTTAAACAAAAAAAAATTAACTGGAAGTAAATGTACCATTTCCTTTAATCGTGTTTTGCGAATTCTTGATTACCTAATGAACCTTCTCTCGTCAGAAGTTCGAGCCATAGTTATAAATAGCACCCTATTTTTTAATTTTTATTAAATATTTTGATAGACTGCATGAAACGGCATTGGCGGTAAAAATTTCACTTTTCAATTCAAAGTCATTGCAAAGTTATGGATTAAACAATCTCTCTGATGTACTGCAAAATAAGTGTAGAAGAGAACACTTCTTAATGATAGACAGTATTCGTTGGTAAAACAACTGCTTAAGATGATTTTATTTTCATTTGTTAGAGAATCTTCAATTGTATATGCTTGAAAATTTTGGTAATTATTCATGCAACTATAGATGAAATATAAATCATAATATAGCAGAAGAGTCAATATTTGTTGAAAATGATCCTTTTCATAAAGTGCTGATTGTTTTCTAAGATTAAAAATGGCCAAGATTTGGTTTAGTGATCTTATATGTTCACGTCAGTCCCAACAAAAAAATAGTTAAAGGAAAAAAAAACCTAGTTTGGTGTGAGGGATATAAGCGCTAGTTCTTTTAATGGTGTATAGTTTGAGTTATGGGCAATACAATTATACTGTTGAATAGAGTTCCTTGAGTTGTACTTGAAACAAGTTCCCAGACGAAGCTCGCACGGATATACAATTGTATACACCTAGATCCTATCGTAAAATACCAGTATTTTGGAATTTTTAGGTATATTGTGTGCGTTTTAAGAAGTCTGATTATACCAATGAATAGAACTCATCAAGTTGTACTTGAAACAAGCTCCTAGGCGAATTCCCCACCGATATATCCGAATCCAGACTTAACTTCAAGTACGTGTCAGAACTCAAGAAATATAATAATATTTATAAGAAATATTCAATCAGACTACATCAATGGAATAAAAAGCTTATATATAACTGATTACAAATATTCTAACGGCGAAGACTTCAAAAAAAAAACAAACTTAATTGGGTAGTTATTTGGTTGATGATGCGAGCAAATAGACGAATTTTTTTCAGCACTCAATATCTGATGAACTTTTCTCATTTGCTTTTATTTCAGTTAGGATAGAAAGCGTTGTATGACAACTTCTTATAGGCTTTTCATCTCGATAGATGGCATGACACAACATGTCACTACTTACGTCCTCTTATATTGTTTTAAAATAAATAAATACATATCAGCTTTGATTCGTTTATTAATACATACCAATGAAATAGCAAATGCTGTCGTTGTCAATATGGCGGCGACATAATTCCAGAGTAGACATATATATACATATAAACTTATTGTTATTTTCTTCTCTAGATTTCTGATGATGTATCGATCTTTTATGATGATTATTTTTATTCTTCTACCAATATATAGTTGGTGTGCTACATCAACTGTAGCAACCAATTTATATCCAGCTAATTTAAATGGATTAAAAAGTCAATTTCAAACAGCAATGAAATCATTTTCTGATGTAGCATCAATACATTATTCTTTAGCTGGTATTAAAGAACTTGGTGTACAACCACCTGATACATATTGTAATGATATTAAAAAATTAGTTGATAAAACAAATATTGAATCAATATATCATGCAACTGAAGCAGCTAAAACTTTAACGAATTGCAATGTATATTTATTTAACACAAAAAAAAATCTTTTTTTTTCCTATCATTAATTTTTTTTTCTAGTTACCTGTTGAAGATTATCGTTCAAAAATCAGTTCAACAATTCAATCAGACAAAAGTACAACAGCTGAAATCTATTATGCTGTACGTTCAAGTATTAATCTTGGTTTAAATATTGATGAATCACTTATTGAAAAACGTCTTAATACATTAGCTAAAACAGATGATAGTATTTTAAGTCAAGGTTATGCATTATTAACAGGTGCACAATTAAGTCCAGCTATAGCTAAATATTATGCTGATACAATAAATGATCTTGTTCAACAAGCTGATGAAATTGATGGACGTATATTACAATATGAAGGTGGTATTAGTACAACAGGATTAATATTTAATGCATTTTATGAAGTTGCTGAAAAAGCTGGTACATCAATTAAAATTGATCCAAAACAATTACTTAAATTTGCAAATTATTTTTCAACAAAACGACATGTTGCTACATTACGTAGTGCGTATTATTTAACAAAAGCATTTAAATATATATCGGATAATAAAGTATAAAGAATTTTTATTTCAAACAATAGAAAATATAAAAATATTCATTTAGAATTCAATGCCAATTGTTGTTACACGTGTTAGTTCTTCAGAAGTTAATGCACAAAATCCATCTGTACTTGTTTCCGTCACAAATCTTTTTGGACAACCTGTTGGAGAAATGATTGTTACTGCTGAATCAGCTAAACGTAATGAAGATGGAGTTGTTGTTATATCAAAACAAAAACTTACTTCAAAATCTAGTGATTTGTATGTTTAATTAAAGAAAGAAACTTTATAGAAAAAAAAAATAATACTATTTTTATATTTAGTACTGTTTATGAATTACCATTTTATGATAAAAAAATTTCTCGAGGATTTTATACAATTCATTTAACCTTAACACCACAGACTGATGGAAAATTTATTGGTTTAACAGATCATACTGTTCGTAGACAAAATCTTGTTTTTGTTTTTTGAATATAAAATATATATTTTATTTAGATTGATGTTAAAGTAACATCAGAAGTAACACTTGAAAATGTTGAATTAAATATTGTCGATCGTGATAATGCTGCACAAATAAAAACATACAAGTGAATAATTTTTTTTTGCTATGAAAATAAAACTAAATTTTTATAGATTAACTTATCCAAATGGTTTATCAAATAATCTTGAAATGGATTATCATCAAAAATTAATAATTAAATTTCAAGTAAAAGATAAACAAACTGATGAATTTATTCGCGTACAACAAGCATTCTTACGTTTTACGAATAAACAATCGAATAAAGAAATTATTTATTTAGCAGAAGCAACCAGTGGTAGTAATCCACAATATAAAGTTGAAGTGGTATGATAACATTTATTTTTCTTCTATTCTATTGAAAATTAATAAGAAATTTTTAAAAAATCGTTATACAACTAACAATAAAATGTTTGCGAATCATATTTTTGATATGAAATATGAAGGTTTATAGTGAAAACAATTTTTGTATAGATATATAAGAATATTACAAAAAGTAAACACTTATAATGTAAATAAAAATTTTGTTTCAACACTATTGAGTTAGTAGAGAATTCTATTTCCAAAAGTTACAATGTGAACTACTATCCATTTCAAAATAGAAGGGGAGTGATTCCGAGTTGAATAAATCGGGAACGGAAGCAACTATGGAGCTGCAGTTTTCACCATTAACAAGCGAACACTGGAGCACATAAATCTATGGAAAAATTTCATTGATCAGTAATGGATCATTAGTATGAAAGCTCACTGGACATTTTGAAGATAGGTTTTGGAAGGCTTTTTTCGTTGGATTTTGAACTTCAATTAAACCATTTGATAGAAAAAAATTGTTCTCTTTCAATCTACACAAGGTTGAGCTCGATAGCTTGCACCGTTTGGTAGCTATAAGCATTTTCCTGAGATCCACGAAATCGGCCAGGTGACGCAAAGTAACTTGAGATCATTATAAAAAAGTTTTTGTAAATTTAGTTTTTGCTGCTATTTGGTTAAAAGAACACGTATATTAAAAATCTCGATACAGTGATCTCAGGTTACTTTGAAATTAAAAATAAACATCACCACTGAATTCAGCGTGGTTGATTATCTATAATTTAATGCTTTTAAGGATGATTCCGCGTCACCTGGCCGATTTCGTGAATCTCAGGAAAATTCTTATAGCTATCGAACGGCGAAAACTATCGAGACCGACCTAGTGTAGATCGAAAGAGAACAATTTTTTCTATCGAATAGTTTATTGAAGTTCAAAATCCAACGAAAAAAGCCTTCCAAAACCTATCTTCAAAATGTCCAGTGAGCTTTCATCCTAATGATCTTACTGATCGATGAAATTTTTCCATAGATTTACGCGTCCCAGTGTCCGCTTTTTAATGGTGAAAACTGCAGCTCCATAGTTGCTTCCGTTCCCGAATTATTCGACTCGCAATCACTTGCCTTCTATTTTGAAATGGATAGTAGAAAATGCGACGACCTATCAACACTGTGTCTTCGTATTAAATTTTGATCTGTATTGTAAGCGTCTACTATTCTATTGTACATATATTGGCGTAAACGATTTGTACGCATTTTATCATTGGTAGTATGATGGAAAAGTCTTGATACGAAATATCCACTCATTTTTTGACCGCTTTTTTCGGGTATATGTACAAAATACTGCTTTGGTCAGTTTTGCATTTTCGATTGAAATCTATCAAATTCAAAATGCAAAACAATTTTTAATGGCTCAGTTTTTTGTAGAGTAATATTTGCTCTATAAAGCGTGCTATTCACTTTTCTATGACAAATTTTAAAACTTTTTTAAGCAGCGATAGCCATAGAAATTAGCTCTTCAGAGGAAACGCATAGATGAAATTTCGCTTATTGTAATAACTTCATTAAGTCAATCGATAATAACTCTGTTATATTGATTCGTAACTATATATTTCTGAACGAAAATTAATGGTAACTTTTTCTGTTTTATCAGGATTTAACAACAAATGCAAATGATTTCCGTCATCAATCAGATGCTTATGAACTTGTTTTACTTGTTGGTGATGCTTTACTTCAAAAAGCATTTTCATGGAAATTAACTGATAATATTCAATTATCATTTCATGATGATAATGTTCCAGATATAGATCATCTTAATATATATTCTGCAAAACCAGAAATTATTCATCAATTTCGTGAAGCTGAAAAACGACCACCAGCAATTGTTTCACTTGTTTTTAGTGGATTAACTTTATTACCATTATTAATTCTTTTAATTTCAGTAAGAAGAAATCCTTTTTTTGTTTTTTGAGTATTAAATATTTCAATTTTTTATCTTTTTAATAGTGGCTCAAACTTGGTTTTAATCTTTCTGGTTTACCATTAGGACTTAGTCCATTAGGTTTTCATATTTCTCATGGAGGTAAATATAAAATAAATTACGAAAAAAAAAAACCATCATAATCATGTTTATTTTAAAAATGTTTAGCTGCTTTTGCTTTGATGTATTTCTATTGGAAATATTTGGATATGTTTCAAACAATGCGTTATTTGGCTTTAGTTTCAATTCCATTATTTTTATTTGGTCATCGAGTATTAGCCATATTAGCTGCTCGACGGTAAGATAAATAAAATATGTTTTTTTTATTAAATTAAATGATTTTGTTTGTTTTTTTTAGAGAAAAAAAAGTTTAATGGATTGATTTTAATAGCTATAGAAAAATGAAAGAAAGACGTTGAACAATTTGTTTCGTTTTTGTTATTGTTTTTCCATTTCTTTATTATTATTATGTACGCTCGTCTAGGTTATATTTATAACTTCTATGCTATGTCTCTTGTTTCCAAGTTATGCTAAATTCCAAGGATTATTCTCTTTACTGTAGCCTAGGTTACTTGATTAATACACACTGCTGGTGATTACAATGTGTGTTGAAGTTTTTTTTGGCTTATTGACTTTTTATTAAATGTTATGTTTTTTTTCTTTTTTGGGATTCTCATAAAACAAAAAAGCACAATATTTTTATTATTTGCTCAAAAATAGTGTTGTCTAGAGAAATAGCATACGAAGAAAAGTAAACTGTATAACGAAATCAACATTAAATATAAATATTAGAATATACTTTACAGTTAAATATATATGTTCCAAGACGATATACGACTCTTTATTAATACGATAAATATTTTTTTTTAATGCTCATTACATTTATATCAGATATTACTTGAAAAGGTCAATGAAGATTCCAAATACCATTGGCTGAGTTTTTCATTTTACCAAACTTTATTATGAATAAAAAAAAACTATACTTATTATTAATTAGTTAAAAAAAACATGTCTTGATTTACATTAATATTTCTCCATAATACCACCACAGAACAGACAAGTTCGATCAATGACAAATACATTGGCAAACGGGAAAAAAACCAGATAACCGCAGTTCATATAAATTTCTAATCAAGAATGTAGCGCCTCTAAACTCACTGTTATAGAAAATTAGATTATTATCTTTCCTACCATTATTTAGAGTCCATCGGATTGATCCTGAATCAATCAGAGCTGGGTTCGAAAACTTTAGGCCCCATGGGCTCTACCCTACACATTTGAGAAATGTGTAGGGTGTATTAGTCACTGGATAGAAAAACTGGAAAAAAGTATTTCATATCTTTGAGGCAGCTATCCTATTCCGATTAGAAAGTATCAAAACACAGTTCGACCGTGTTCAAAAATTTTTAACCCGTCTAGCTTTACCGTTATTCCTACAAAAATAGTTTTGTTACATATTATCAATATTCTATATGCACATATTGAAGAAAAGCACATTATCATTAGATAATTTGAAAGCTATGTTCATCAAGCTTTGTTTTGTTAATGCTAAACAAGTATAGTTAATGCATTTGTATCGCAAATTTGTGTCTTCTTCTGGTTAGATTATTAAAGTATTATGTTTTGAGAATGGTTTTTATTACATAATTAATTTTTAGTAGAATAACAAACGAAAAAAACCGATTGACTCAGCAATATGTAAAAAAAATCACAAGTTAGCATGTGTTCAAATATCTTTTAATTTTCTTGTCTGTTCATTTGAAAGAGTATTTTTTCTAACCTTCATCAATCATCATATTAGATAAGTTGCTTTATTTATGATTTAATAGAAAATCTAATTATAAACACAATGAAATATAATCTAATGAATCAAACACAAATAATCATCAATGATTTCTTCAGTATTCTTTCTATAGAAAAATCAATCAATTAGTTAGATTTTCTTTTTCTTGATATTAATACAAAAATTTTCTATTCAAAAGAGAAAAAATGAAAATGCTATATAAAACAAGTATCAGATCAATAGTTAATCATATTATATATGTCAAATTATATAACAACTCGATCCATCTTATCTACAATGTACGTCAGAAGTTTCGTACCATTTTTTTGTTTCAAGTCATGTATTTACACTACACAACATTAATCGTGAATATCAGTGTGAGTCTTCCTTTCAACCACACCCGAACTTCTAAATAATGTGTTACATTACGAATAATTTCTGAGAAAGTTTGACATGTGGTCACATGCTCACTAATGAAAACATAAAGATTTACCATTAGTGAAAAGCAATGATAAATCATTGAAAGGATATTTAGTTTTGTTCTAGTAAATAATAAAAATATAAAAACACTCAATGGTCTATTTAGTATAAAATTTTGTTTTGATTAAAAAAATTGGAAATTTTAATATCTTGACTTGATAAATAAAATTTTTAATTTGATTAGTACAATAAAAAACGAAAAATCACTTAGTTATATAATACAAATTATAATAAATCCAGAATAATTAAAATTGTTTGATTGAAAATAATTTAAGTGGTACAAGTTTCTTTTTTTTGTTGTTATATATACTTCAATATTAAAAAAAAAACAAAAATACTGAAATATCTCATAATCTATCATTAATTAATTGATGAACATTAATCGATGATTCATATCGTACACAAAGTGTATCATTTGTTGAAATTGTTAGATTTAATGGAGATTCTCGTCGATTTTGAACATTTACAAAACGACATTCACCTTTAACTTGACCAGTTTCATCAAGCATTATTAAATGACTTGTTATATATTCAACAAGAAAAAAAACATGTAATTTTTCACACCATTCCACTCTTGGTGTATATGATACATCATCATTCCAACATTCATTAAGTAATAATTGTTTAACTAGTGTCCAATTATTTCTATCATCTGAAACAATAAATACACAAACTCGAACTTGTCGACGTAATTTTACACGATAAGCTAACATTATTTGTCCATTTGGACTTATAGCTAAATCACTTATTTCTCCAACGTATGTTAGAGCCATATCATTTCTTCCAGTTAATACTATATCACGAAGTGTTTTACGTACTTTTTCTTCTTTATCATAATTCATTATAATAATTTCATCACTATTATGACTCTTAGTATCAGCTGCTGATATTAAATAAATATATGTATTATCACATGTAACACGTTTCATACTACGATTAGGAAATTCATGAAATTCTTGAAGTTGATTTCCATTATCATAAAGAATACGTAAACGTGAACGATTAAGTACTAAATAACCTTGAAGTTTAGTTGAATATGCTATATCTTGTATCCATTGATCATCACCATCACCCAACATTCTATCTGGATCACTCCAATCAATCGTTTCTCGTGTTGTTGGTTGTTTTAGATTAGGTATTAATATTAAATGAGAAGTTCGAGTATGATGATTATAATCATTATAAAGCAATTGATTGTTATAACAACATATTGTACCCATATAATTATCATGAGTTATAGGTATTGTTAGTAAACTTTGACGAGCAATATTAACTGTTTGACCAGCATCAAAATCATCACGTTCTTGAGCGTCCATTGTTGAATTAGGCATATGATCATTATTTACTAATCTTCTTGGTTGTTCGATATATGTCGTTTGAGTAACAATAGGTTGTTCAGTAGTTGTTGATGTAGTGGTATTTAAAGGCATAACAGATGCAGAAATAATAGATTCCGTTACATGTGTTGTAGAATTTGGATTTAATAAATTTGGATTTAACTTTGATTGAAGTTCTGTATCTAAACTTGTATCATCCTGATGTAATTCAGGTAAAGTTTTTAATTGATCAAATTTTTCTACAATACGTCGTTGTAGTGAATGAATTGAATCCAATTGTTCATGAACAACACGATTTGATTGTTCACCTAATGCATCAAATTGAGTTCGAAATGATGGAACATCTAAATAAGCATTTTCTCGGTGTTGAATTTCGTTTAAACCAGCAACAGCTATTTCATTTATTTCTTGAATACGTTTTTGTCTCTATTAAATAAATAGAAAAAAAAATCTTTGAATTAAACATCCGTTTAAAAAAAAGTTTATCGATTAAATGTTTTTTTTCTTAATAAGAAGTCAAAATAGTACGTAAACAGTTCTGAAGATGAATAACCATTTCAGAATTCTTATCAATAAAATAATATCACTCAGATTTTATTTCTGTTCAATTTTTCGGGAAAGGGGCATTTCGCACCAACTTTTCATTACGATCTCCCGACAGTGGAGTTCGTTATGATCGCCGAACATAAGGAAAAAAAGACAGGGTGTTCGTAATTATGTGTACGAGAGTTCGGAATGCAAAAATCAATCAAAAATAAATAAAAAAAACAGGATGTTCGCAATGTACGTTGTCCAGGACAAAAATCATTTCCGAACATCCGGACACATGATAGGAGTTTGGAATGACTTAGTGCGAAATGTCCGCCACTCAATTTTTCAAGTATTCACCTCATCTTTTCAACAAAAACCATGTTATTTTCATAATGACGTCTATTATGCTGTCTTATTGATTGTTTTTAAGAGATATTTGAATTTAATTTTATTAAAAATTCTAATTTCAATATCTAGAATTCTACATTAGGAATCTAATCATAATCGTTTATGAAGATAAAATAATTCTTTTTTTTTTTAAATCAATACTAACCCAATTTTCGATAATTGTTTTCGCACTATTGCAATCTGTACTTTCTACTATGTGTTCAACTTGAAGTAATCGTTCTCCAGTTTCACCATGAGTATATTCAAATTCCAGACGAATTTGTGCAACATGTAAATGAATACATGTAAAATCAAATTTATCTCCACATGTACAAGTTAAATCGTATGGTTGAGTTAGACAAGCGACACAAAGTTCTTTAGATGAAGTTGATGGTAGTGACATATTTGATGATGTTCTTTCAGCTATAACTCATATATATATATTATATTGCTAATTGTAAATCTTTAATGTATATATATTTTGTTTTTTATTTTACGGTTACAAGCAATACTACTAAAAGGAAAAATATAAATGAAAATACTGTCGATAAACAATAATAAAACACCTTGTTCTTTTCTTCTACAGTTGTGTTTGTTGAAGAAAAATGAGTAAAGAAATATTTTTGTCGCGTTACAACGAAAAAAATCTGAAGGTAAAAGATATTATCGTTGTTATTATGCAACAACTATACGAATGACGAAAAAAAAAAAACATTATTCTTCCAACATGTACAACTTCGAATTTAGAAACTTGGTGGCAATAAAACTACTAATCAATAATCACTGATGAAATTTTTTTTTGGCACTCTATCCTCAACAGAATTTGTTTTTAAACATGCGCAGGAAAAAACCAACGTAAAAAAAAATAATTTGTCATAGTTTATTTCTTTTTCTCTAAGTATTAGATACATTTACGTGATAAAATTTTGTGTTATAAGCAAATAAATAAGAAACGAAAAAAAAAGAGGAAAGAAATACAAAATAATTTTTCACAATAGATGAAGTGTAATGAATGAATTACTTCTGTATTCATTTTGAGATTAACATATTGATTAGAAATTATTTCCAATTGATGTTCTCTATTGAGAAGTAATATATTTCCATGCGTTAGAATTTTCTCATCGAACACTTTCATTTCAATATGATTTTATTGCCAAAGAAAGAAAGTTAACATAGTGTTTTTTATTATAAATTCTATGCATTAAGGTGTGTCGGCCTCAGGTTGCTACTGGCGATCAGAGTTTACGGAACTCATATGTATTTTCGAAGAAAATAGTAAATCTAAGGTTGAAGTCGAAGTTTTTCCCTCTCATTACAGACCTTAGTTATTGAGGACCACAGGCATCAGACTTGTTTTCCAGAATTCCTTAGCAATAGGAAAAGATGTTGAACGGCATTAATGATAAGACTTAGACTGTTCTAGAACATTTCGAAGCCTTCCTCGAAATTGGAATGACTGAAATACGTTTGTCAATATTCTAAATAGTGCAATTTTGAACTTTTGCCGAGATAAAAATTTATATTTAAGATGTCAACGATGATGGGTAGTGATATATTGATTTGTCACAATCATCCTATGGTCAACATAAAAATCAATACTAGTGTTTGTGAGTTTATCGAGATGCATGATAGTGTTTTTCGATCTCTTATAGATGTAATGGATATGTACAATATGCTTATTTGTCAGTTGAATCAGTGGTTAGAATAATAATAATAATAATGTTCAATTAAAAAAATCGAAAAAAGTAAAAGAAAAAAATTCTGTTCAAAACGCCGAACTGCATAAGACAGATCGTATCACTAGCGATCGATTATCCTTGAACAACAACTATAGTTTGCTTGAGATTTTTTTCTTAACATATCACTGCTTTTACGGAATTCATATTGTTAGGAATCTATAAATATTTTGAAAAGCCTTCCAAAATTACAAGCGACAAGCTCAAAGAAGATTATAGTATTTGACAAAATGAATGATGATAAATTGTTCAATTTGTTGCACTAGTTTACTGATTTCTACAACTTCTTCCCATTTCAATCGATTTATTAATAAACATGAAATACAAATCAATGTGGATATAATACTTTAAAAGATCAAGTTTGATTTAAAATGAGAATTGATTATGAAAATAAGTTAATAAAAGATAACATATTTATATCATGTTTCTGATATTTTGAAAATAATAGATTTATATGTTTTAATTGATAGAAATCATTATTAACATTTGTTGTTCAACTAAATTATATTAAATAAAACTTCTATAGGAAAAAAAATAATCAAATCACTTGAATTTTTCAAGAGATAATTATGTTTACTTTTCCAACGAACTTTTCGAACACCCTGTAATCAGAAAAACTGCCTTAGAATACAAGCAAGATCATGCATACATATACGAGATGAAGTCCTATGAATGTTATACATGTCATTAATTTCAATGAGAAAAATTTCACCATGAAAGCTACTATCTGTTCTGATAACCGTTGTCATATGACACACAAGTGAACGATCATTGATCTATGATGTATTTATAGGTTTTCTATATCGATGTTTGATCTACATTTTTGTATTTGTTGACAGATAACCAACACAACAATCGTTTATTCAATTTTCTATAGTTTTATAAATAATACCCATTTTGAAAAGTTTGTATTAAAGATGATGTGTCCTCAATCAAAGTGCATAGATACAAAAATTTTGACTAATGATTAATGGCGATATGTTTCCTAATGTCAAATTTAATAAAGTCTATCTTATTTCACTCTAGTAAGACGGTAATTACAAGCTGTACATGTCAATATCTTTAAAAAAAATGTGTTAGATCAAAAGCATAGGGATTTTCTTATCACTAAAAGAAAAATGAGTTTTTCGATCATTAAATTTATTATAAAATAAAAAAAAAGTAGAAAAAATGTATTTACAACACTACATTATTAAAAAAAAAAGAGAATTAAGGAAAATATCGTAAAACACTTTCAACTCACTAATCGCTTTTTCATTGAAAGTTAATGGATTATAGTTTAGCGACCATGCTAAATTCTCTTAGGTTCTTATATGCTGATTTTCTAGCAAATCAGTTTTCCAGGCTAACAAACTCTTCGCCCAAAAAAAAATTCTTTTTATCTGTTTAAATTGTAGAACATATTCTATTGCCTAGAAAATAGTAAATTTTTCTGTTTCAAATTGTGTTGTTTTTTGCAGAAAATACAATCATTTTAATTCATACAACAGATACATGTCAACGTTTCACTGTGAAAATTTTCAAGGTGATATTATCTTAGTTAAAACTTATATTTGAAAAATAGAAAAGATTATTTATTTCGAAACAACTCGATATGCTCTATAATCTGAATAGATAAAAAAAACGATTTCGGCAAAATGTTTGTTAGTCTGAAAAAACCGATACGGACCTCAGAAGACTCCCTATGGTTATATTCGTAAACAGCATAGTCGGTAACCTACTAGCTTCCGGTGAAAAAGCGATTAGTCACATATTCATCGTTGAGAAATCTAATTGATGTAAACGACTATAACATGATTTTTCTTCCTGGAGATTTGTAAAAATACGAATGTTTTCCGAAGCCATTCCAATTAAATGATTAATAATGATCCAATGAATTAGTTAAAAAATTCTCGACCGGTTAAAACTGTGGATGAGCGCACGAAGTTGTTACGGAGTTTGACAATCATCTTTTCGTTCTCACACACTCTCTTACCATTGGAAAAATTTGTTTCATTTTAATGAACTCATATCTCGATGAATTTGATAATCGAAATATATTTTTCATTGGTAACACATGTAACTCTTTGTTTGTGAATAAAGTACATCAATTCACAAAGAATCGTATGTAAGTAGAACATTGTAAGATTAAACCAACGTACGATGCATAGATCATTTATTATTGTATTACTTTCTTTTTATCAACGGTTTGACTATGTATTTGATTTTAGATTATTTATTTAAACTATGTATATCGTTTTAAATGGTCGACATTGATAAGAGTGGAAAGTATCACACAACAAAAAATAAAATAAAATAAACAACAACCAGGCATATGTTTCTCACCTTCATCTGTTATTGTGTACTATTGATCATCGGATTAGAGAGTAAAAAGAAAAGAATCAATTGTCACACTATGATTGTGTCGTATTTCCGTTATAGATTTTTTTTTTCTTGCCTTCATTGCAATCATAGTCGTTGTCGACTAGTAGTGAACTGTAAATAGAGACTAAACTTTACAAAGAGATCAAGTTACTTGAACATACTCTTTGACATGCATACATCTATTTATCTAGGTACTGTTCGTGATCAATGAACAATTTAGATATGAAAAGTATTTTCTAACAAAAAAAAAAAACAAAATATCTTTGGTTTTTCTAAAAAAATGAAGTTTAATCAAGTATCGGAAATCAATTGTCTCTTTCTCTCTATTTTCTTTCCTTGATTATATTTCATCCGGAATGCTCATGCTAAATGTACAAAAAAGAAAAAAGTTTTCAATATGTTTTATATAAATGTAGATTTTACACAATGCATGATTTCTTTTTTTGAATGAATGTCTGTTGATATCTAGCCAAGTGAATATAGAGAAGGAAATGGATGCTCGACAGATGATGCGTGACAAACTTTGTCTAATTCGATTTTCATTCTTCTTCTATGTGTTCAGTTGATTTAGAACAGACTCTTTTTTTATTTCTTTTGACATCCGACATCAAGCTGTATGAAGCAAGATTAATCTTTTTAATTATTTAACACGCATTAGAAATCTATGCTTTTTTTTTTCTTTTCGAGATTATCAAATGCACTTGATCAATAATATTTATGATGAAAGCAAAATAATTGATTGTTATATATTTATAAACCTGCACAAAAACTTAATTGAATAGAATTATACAAATATTTACAGAATATATTTTTTTTTGTTGAAGTTTCTCTTGTTAATATAAATATGTGTTATGGAATTGTTTCAAAAGAAAAAAAAAAGAAAAACACATATGTAGAAAATTTACAATTCAATTCGTTCATCATCACATATTGTTTCAAGTGTATGATACTGATAAAGAATTGTGCTGACTGTTCGATTCACTCATCGCAATGAAACATTGAGAGAGAAGGAGAGAGAGAGAGAGAGAGAGAGCGAGCGGAGGCACCATTGCGCGATACTTCTCTTTTTTTCCTACCCTATGAATAGCATCATTATTGTTACCAATATTGCTAAACTCTTTTTTTTTCTCTTCTTTTTCTTTCTAACAGACTTTTCGAAGCACAGCAAAGATGTTGTTATTGTCGATGATGATGGGTGGTAGTAGAAGAATAAATCAGTTAGTTATTTTCTCTTCTGCAAGATACGAGTACTTGACGTCACCATCATTTTTAAGGAAAGTGGATGATAATAACAGAACGTGCGTGGAACGCCAACGCATACATATAGCAACATATATATATATATATATATTGTGTTTTTCCTAATAGACCCATTCTGCCAATGCTATTGGCATACCACAAACACTCTTCAGCCCAATTCTCTTGTCAAAATACTCGGTAGTATTGCTTGTTGCTCTTTTTTCCTTCTTTAAGCGTCGAATATTAACATCGTCTTTCTTGTTGTTATATGCTGGTACGACCGATGGTATCAAGGGAGAAAGAGAAAATTCGATTCTCTCTTTCTCATTTTTTTTTCCTTTCTTTTATATCTGGATCTATGCTCGGTCGTCGAAACTGGCGTCCTGTTTCGAGCACAAATATTATTGGCGTCAAGTGATGGAAGAAGAAGAAGAAGAAAAAAGAAGTAGAAGACGAATATGTGAAAACAAGAAGTATGTGCGTGTACAAACATCCAACCATACTATTGCACTATACTTTCTTTCTTTCTTTCCTATTCATTTATCTATTTCTTTTCTCAAACATGTATAAAAACAAATTCGACTATATTATTAATCCTAAACTGGTAAGCGTCCTCTTCTTTCTATCCCACCCCATTTTTTTTCTTCTTCGTCGTGTGCCGAATGCGAATAGGTCAATAATAATATGAAAAAGAAAAGAAAGAAAAGAAATGAGAGAAAAACTGGCATACAGACATGTTCTGCATCTATCTATTTTTGTATCGAGTGAGAACAAAGGATCGACGATTGGGAGAGAGAGCGAGCGAAAGAGAGAGAGAGAGAGAGAGAGAGAGAGAGAGAGAGAGAGAGAAAAAGAGAAAGACAGCACTGCATTGCAACCGACGCCGCGAGCGCATCATCACATCATTCAGTTTGCCTCTATCTCGACGAGAAGCAGCAATAAGAATAGTTGTAATAGTAGCAACGAACACGAATAAGAATGACAAATCTCTATGTTAACTCTGTAATATTTTCATAGAAGAGTAAGTCTATTTTTATTGTTCTTTTCATGTGTAAATTAAAGAGAAAAAAAAATTAATTAATAAAAACAAAAATTTTCTATTAATCATTGTTCAAATACTAAAGATCTGTATTAGCATTTGTCTCTATATCATTTTATCTTAAATTATTTGACTAATAGAAAAAGTTTGAGATTAAATATGAAATTCTTTTTCTAAAAACAAATGCAACATATAGACTATGAATATATAATCAAGTCTTTGTAGTATACGATTTGTTGGTAGATGGAAACGTTTATCTGAGATTGTTTCTTTTGTCTAGATGTTAACCGAAAAAAAAAGAAGACGAACGTAGGAAAAAAAAGCACCTAAGCGAGCACGTTTGTCATTCAACATTAATCATTAACATATGAAAAATGAAGATGATTAAAAAAAAAGACGTTTCTTTGCATGCTCATATTTATTGTATCTTCATTGCTTTATTAAATACTTATGATTCTACAAATTGATAATACTTTTCTTACTGTCTATTTGAATTTTTCATGCTCATCTTTATTTGTGTCAGCAAAGAGATCGTGCTATGTGAAAACTAAAATTCATATCACAGTCTTGCTTTGTTGACATGAAACGAACATTTATCATGACAATCAAGGTAAAAATGTATAATGATTCATTGTTAAAAAGTCATTACTCATTTTTTTTTCTTTTTTATATATATCACCGGCTTTTTTTTTTTTGTATTTCAGTATATGCCAATTATATTTTCTTTTTCTCATATGTTTTCATCTTTTATATTTTAAAATCAAATGGAAATCAATGGCGGTCCCTATCAGTAAACAGTCTGTGAAATGTTGAGATAAAATCAAAGTCATATCACAGCCTGCTTGCTGATGTAAATCGTCAATTACTTCATACTATTGTACATATAAATTATTCAATATTATCGACAAAAATAAAAAATAAAAAAAATTTTTATATTTTGTTTATGAACTTGTCTTATATATGAAGTTTTTCAATAGAAATAAGATATTTTTTTATCTCATAATTGTAAATAAATCTTAGTATTTAACTCTTTGTTTTCTAGACATCTGTTCATCTGCTATTGATAAATGAATAAACATACATCAAACGATAATCTCTTAAACAGATAGAAGAATATTATTTTAATTGTTTTTCTTTTCTTTCAAATTGATAATAATAAAAAAATTCGATTAAATTTTCAAAATAATCAAAATCTATTTGTTTACTTTGAATTATAGGAGCAAAACAGAAAAATAAAAAAGAAATTAATAAAATTTGCACACTTTCAATATCATTACGAAAATGTTAAATAGCACTAAGAATATCCGGCGGCGATAATGTTATCACTTAATCTTGTTTTATTTATCATGAATAGAAATGAGTATTATATTTTTTTGCTTGCATATCAAAATAACAAAAGAAAAAAAGAAATATTGTTAATTTTATTTTTTGTTTTATGATTAGATATAAAAAAACAAAAACTTTATTTTGTATGATTTATTTAAAACTTATATCGAACTGTCAGTTGAATAAATCTTTGTGACTAAACGACCTCTATCAATATAGAATTTGATTAGATATAATGATTTAATCATAATAATCTATGGAACTGAAAATTTATTCATAAAATTATCTTCATCAATGTTCGTATCGCGTATTTTCCTATCAGGGTTATTAAAATGCAAACATCGTTTTAAAATATCATCTACTCGATGTTTTGCATCAAAATTATCGAATGTTTCATCATCATCATCATCAATAATAAAAACTGATGAAAAAAATAATAATTTGAATTTAAATGATCAAAAGCAAGGAATGGATAATAATGAATGGTTATGGGCTTATTTACGTAATCGAAAAAATTTTGTAGATCTTAGTGAAGAACAAAGACGACGTGTTATTGAAATTGGTTAGAATATTTTCATATGAATTTTAAAGTTTTTAATAAGATCTTCTTTTTCTTTTTCTTTTTGTTTCATTTTGTAGAAATTCAAACATTGAGAGAAAGTGGTGAACGTGTACCAGAAATTATACCTGACGAACGATGGGCTGACCTATTGAATTTACCTTTACTTGAATCTCGAAAAAAGTTTTATGGGTGAGATAATAAGACAAACAAGAAAAGAATAGATTAAAATGAAATTTTTTCGTTTTTTTTTTCTTAAGGATTTATTAAACTAAGTATAATCAGCATAGAATCGTTCAATATTTGTTGTTAAGCCAAAGTGATACGACGTGAAATAGTCTATTCACTTGGAATATATCAATTTTTGAATATCGTGATTATTTTTACTAATGTATATAAAAACATAGGAGTTAAAAACCAGTTCGATCATGATTGAGCAATTTATTGTACTTGAGAACAGGTCACAGAAGTAGAAAACGATATTTTTTTACTAAAAGAATTCGTTGTTAATGTCAAACAAGTGAACATATATATTATCGCGATAGAAAAAGTGCTGGTGTATTTATCTATAATTATGACATTTGGCACTAACATTGCGCTTCATTTCGGTGTCATTCGAAACAAGCAAATGTATACTTACCGAAATTGATCAGATTTTAGAAGCAGAAAGATACTAAGTGAAATCTGAATCACTTAATTTATTTGCTTTTGTTGCTATCTCTTTGTTACTGTTTATGAAAGAAACTAAATTGTATACTTTTTCATGTAAAATAAAAGTTTGAAAATCATATTGTCACTGTGAAAACATTTGCTAGATGTCGATTTGAATCCGATTACGAGAAGAATAGTAAATCGCAGTATCCTATTTGTGTCAGTGTAGTCTATAACTATCAAATAAGAATAGTGCATGTCAGTACTAAGATGCTTGAATTGCACGAAAAGGCTGCTTCAATAGTTAGATTGCTTTTTGAAAGACTCATAAACAGGAAAAGATATACTAGAATCTATCCATTTGGAATAGAAATAAATAGAAATTGAACGCCATTGATCATATTGAGTTTTTCCTTTTTCGCAACTCTATCAAAAAACAAACCGATTAGTATATATATAGTATCGATGAGAAAATTTTCCGAAATATCAAAAGAGTCTAACAGTGAAATCGATGAAAAAATGGAAGACAAATTTGATAGATTGTAGCAAAGATAAAAATAGCGATATACGTTTTACAACATGTCCGCATTTCACTCTACAATGATCTGTTAACAGACATGAACTACTCTTATCTATGAGTTTTTCAAAAAGCTATTTACATTTTGAAGTGATCTCATGTTATAATTCAGATATCATAAGTAGTATATACATTCTTTCTATTCTAAATATAAAATACTCGTAACTCATTTAGTTATGTTTTTTTGGATTTTTTACTAAGTCTTGATTATTGATAAAATATGAATTTAAACGTTTTTGAATTAGTTATTAGAGTTCTCTTATGAAAATATGATTAGATACGAGTTGAAATTCTTACTTTCATAAAGACTCTTCTTTTTTTTTTTTTTCTTTCTATATAGATATCTTTTTCTTCGTGAACTTGGTCGTAAACGTCGTGCTGCTACAGTTGCTTTAAATGATATACGTCGTTCTGAATCAGCTAAACGTCGTGCTGAATTACTTTCTGATGGAAAACCACCAACAAATTATCCCGGTTATTCATCAATATTTCGTCATATTGGTCGACATCATGAAAAACTTTTACGTGAACAAATTTTACTTGCACCAGCACGACTTGGTGAAATGCTTGTTATTGATTGTGGTTTTGAACAAGAACATGTACGTGAATATTATTTATCAAATTTAGTTGATCAAATACAATATGTATTTGCTGATATAACACGTTATCATTCACCATCATTTGTTTATTTATGTAATTTATCACATCATGGACGATTAGAAGCTGAATTTACTCGTCGTGCATCATTAGAAAATATGTGTTTCGAATTTACAGAATTAAATTATTTAGATATATTTCCACATGATAAACTTATTTATTTATCACCAGATTCTAATGTTGAAATGACATCATTTGATCATGATGCTATTTATATTATTGGTGGAATCGCTGATCGTAGTAGGTATTTTTTTTATTGAAATCAGTTTTTATTTTAGATTTTTCTCTAAGAAAATTGAAAGAATGAAATCAATAGATGATATTATTTGTGTTATGCAATTTCTATCTAAAAGCTTTCGAAATTGGACTCGGTACAGGCCAATGAAATATGAAAAATTTCAAAAGAATAAGTCCTTTTAGGCCTTCTGTCCAAAATTATAGACATTGTACGAGAATTTTACTCTCTGGCTTGGTATATGCCAACAAATCGAATGGTAGTATTTCAACCTGAGATCTCAAGAAACAAAAAAATCCAGCATCTTTCGTTACATACAAGTGATTTTTGGGACTTTAATATCTCACTTTTTTTTTTGAGTTGAAATTTTCAGAACATTCTACTGATAAATAGACCTGTTTGTGGGTCTAATCTCAAGTCAAAATACCATCATGCAATCTGTTGGTATTCACTATACCAGAAGCTAGAATTCCAGTAAAATGCCTATCGCTCTAGACAGAAGGTCTAAGTGAAATTATCGTTTCAAAGTTTTTCATATCTCACTATGTCTAAATTCAAAAGCAATAGATCAAGTGAAAACATATTATCGAAAAGAATAATCAGTTTAAGTGGCTTATATTGTTTTTTTCAATATTATGATAATGTCTCATATTGCACGCTTGTTCGCATTACCATCGATATACCGAAGTATGCATAAGTATCGGCAGTTTACGTCTGATTTGAATCACATGGGCTGTTTTGTGAAATTCACACAGTAGTAAATCAACAAAGTTTATGATGTTTGTGAAAATGAGTTACTACCGAATGATGACTGAAATATATTTTGATCAAGTCTTACATTGATAGTTCTGAAGGTTTCAATGAAAACGAACATATCTTTCTCGAGATACTCAATACCTAAAAAACACAGCGGTTTATCATAGCTATAACTATTCAATGATAGGTCATGGGTACAAATCGTTTTAACCTTTTCTTAGTCTTATCGAAATCTAATCGTAGCCTTAATGCAAAGTCGAATGATATCTGGCAGTTGACCATGTTCCCTTATAAGATAAAATTTCTAATCACCGAAAATTATGGTCGTAATTCATAATAAAACTTTAAAGAATAATACTATCATATTGTAAAAATATATATATATATATAAATAGTTTGAAGTATTTAAAAGATATCTAAATTGCTTTTTTTTTAAATATTTTAATAGCTGGTAAAAAACCTTTAACATTTGGTAAAGCAAAACGTGAAAATATAAAACATCAACGATTTCCTATAGATCGATATGTAAAGTATGTTACTATTATTATTATTAATGAAAATTTTTAAATTAATATTTTATTATTTTTTTCTTCGTAGATTTGGTGGTGGTAGCGGAAAATCATTAACTATTGATCAAGTTTATAATATTTTAATGACATTAAAACATACTGGATCTTGGATAGAAGCATTTAAATATATTCCGTAAGAATTTTATTTTATTTATATTTATTCTTATATTTATTTGATATTTATTTTAGTGATCGAAAAGTTGTTGAACGATATTCAGAAAAAATGGATAATAAACAACGTATTCATGAAAAATATGTTCGACGTACTCAGTAATTCAAATACTTAATGTTTTTGTTTTTTTTTTTCTTCATTCTAAATGAACGAGAGAAAACAAAACGTCTTTCATTAGTTAAACACAGTCTTGCATAAAATTGTATGATTTTTGTTATTTTTTTGTTTAACGATTGAATGATATAAAATATAGAAAAAGACAAAAGAAATAACTGTTAAAAAAACAAACAAAGAACTATTACAACTGTAAACCACAATTAAATGTCAATATACCCTAAATGTATTATAGTGGATCTCAATAGATACTTGAAAGATTGAATATAAAAGCATCTCATATTCTCCTTTATGAGTTTTGCAATCATAATCGGTCATTGTGTCATGAGTAATTTCTTTTTTTTTTCTGTTTTTTTATAGAAATAAAGAATAGTTGATATTTCCCTATTCACAACATACACAAGATGAAAAGAAAAAAATTGACGTTAGTTATAAATATGATTGAAACTGATGGACTGTTTAATCTATGTTTTTACATTTAATGTTCATTCATTAAGAGGAAATATGATAATGTAAAGTCTCATTAACATTTTTTCAAAATATAAATTCTTAAATGCATGTGTGTGCGTGTGTTTTTATTTTATATAAACATTTTTTGTATAAAAATTTTTCTTCCACTAAAAATATTACTAACATTTCGGAGATTAAATTTTTCTTTTCAGAGAAACAAAAAAGTCATTCTAATTATTCATGTGTAAAATCTAGGCACACAATTTACTCTATTACGTACTCATAATTATAATTGTTTCATTCTAATTATAGGTTTTCTTGATAAATAGAATCGTATACAAGAATTTCTATGTTAATCACTGTCATTGATATATATTCTAGCAAAAAAAAATATGAAAAAAAAAATGAGATGACAGTGCAAAAAAAAGAACAATCTTATTAAACACATGTAATATGAAGAGTTGTTGGGTTTTGTGTTTCATTTTTGCATTTTTTTGCTTTAACAAAAATTAAACTAGTATTTTCTTCATGATTATTATTATTATTAGTTTCAGTCAATAAATTTCTATCTGATGATAACTGTTGATCAGATGGATTTGATGTTAGTTTTAAAGTTTTTGGAATGTGTAAATGTGTTGAATTTATATTTGAACATGATGTTAGTCTTGTTTGATTATCTAATGGATTATATGAAGTAACCATAGTTGCTGATGAACGTCGACGTGATATAGTTTTCCATAGATCAATTTTTGAACCTGCTAAAGGTCTAGATTGTTGTCGAATAGAATCGACTTGTGGTGTTGCATTCATTAAAGCAAAACGATGTGTACTTGCTCCATCCATATTATAACGAAATGGATATTGTCCATGACGAAAAAATATATATAAAACCATTTCACGAAAACGTTGACCAAATGCAGCAAATAAAAAAAAATTAATAAAACCATTAAATGCAATTAATAAATTAGCAAATGTATTAAAACGTTGTAAAGAATTTTTATTTAAACATGGTGATAATTGTACAAGTAAATTAACAAATAAATTTATTGAACGACATAACATAAATGTTAATACAATAATAATTAACATTATTGTTATACGTATATCAGCTTTCATACGTTGACCCAAACGTTTTTTTTTCTTTTTTATTAATAATAATTGATGAATCATACTACCATTACATAATGTTAATAATGTAAATGGTATAACAAATGTTATTGGAACATTTAAATAAAAACGATATATTGATAAATATATTGTATTTGAACCAAGACGTGTATATGTTAATTCTACAAGTTTATCATATTCATTATTATTAATTGTTATATTTCCATTTGATGTGAATTTTTCTATTATTCGTGTTTCAGTACGATATTCAAACCAATGTGGTAATATATAAAGATTAACAAGTATAAAAACAAGTAAAACTAAACGTAATGACATATTATGTGTACGAATTTTTCCAGCTATTAATGGCCAACATATAAGAAAATATCGATCACCACTAAGAAGTACTGTTAAATAAGTACTACAAAGTAAAAGCATAGAGAGTAATGGTGTTGTAAATGGTGCAGCATAAGCATAGAATTGTTCATAACTATTAGCTAATATAGCATTTCGATTTTTAGTATCGGGTTGACGTAAATAAACTAATAATTCTGGATAGGAAGCTAGAAATAAATAATTTAAAAAATTTTTATATTTGTTTTCTTTGTTGATTTTTAGTTAATGGAATAATGAATAAGCAAAAGAAAAATTCGATAACTTCTTTTCTTAGCCACATAAAAAAATCAGATGTAAATTTAATTCTTTGATAGAAATCATTAATTATTAAAAAACTTATATCGTTTGCATTGAGAAGACGACAGCATATGTCGAGAACATAACATACTCATTTAATACGAAAGAATACTATGCATATATATATTATTCTATAGAAAATATTTTTTTTTAATGAAGACATTACAAACAAAACAAAAAACATTTTTAATTATTATTTAAAGTTTAATTAACATTCAAATAATGGAACTGATGAGATATTCTTTTGCTTTTGGGTGAATTATCTTACAAAATGAAGAAATCTTATGATGTTATAGACAGAACTAAAAAGGATCAATAGACCGATATAATTGGTGACCAATAGAATTTTTTTTCTCATTATTGAAGTATTGACATTGTATTCTATATTTGCATTCCGAGAAAATGTGTTTTTTTTTATAAAAAGCCCTTTTAGTGTATGACTTTTATTGTCAATATTAGAAAATTCTTGAAATAATTGTTTGCATATTTCTTATATTTTCCATGGAGATTTTATCTGCGTTCGAGTTTTAGGCTTAATAATATAGAGATGCACTTTATAATAAATCGGATATACCCAGCTGTTTACGTGTCTTACATTGATCAAATTAATGTCATGCAATCACTTTTACAGTACTAAACGAAGTATGACATTTACTAAATGGACTGATATATATATATATCTTAGAAAACACCTTGACATATTCGTGTGTTAATAAAATCGACTTACCAATTGATTTAACTGAATAATTAATCACAAGACCAATTAAAAGGAAAATATTGCATACAGATAATGCCATTAAATAGACATGTGTTGAACTGTTTCTCATACGTGGATGAAGTAAAACAATAACAGTAAAAATATTGGTAATAATACCTTAAAATATAGATATATATATGTTTTCTTAAAAATGATTTTTGTTTTTTTTGCATTAATCTTACCAAATATAGAAAAGATTAATGTAAGCCATCCACCAACAATATATTTAATCGAAACAGTATTTGAATCGATTATATTGAGTTCGACTGAACAATTGAGAGGAGGCATCAATCGTCATTGGTATACATGAATTCTTGTTAAAAAAAAGAAAAAACAAATAAACGAACTAAAATATGTACATGTATTTTATGTTCAATGAAAGTTAATTAAGAACGCAGTCATGTATGCTTCTATTTTTTTTTCTGCTTGAATAAAGATGATAGAGACAAAGTATCGCTTGACCTAAGACTAACAAGCTATGTCGCAACAGATCTCTTGTTAAGAGAAAAAAAAAGAAAGAAAAGAAAAAATTACAAGAGAAAAAACTTTTCTTCTGCTCGTCTTTTTTTTTTTTATTTTTTACTTCAAACTGACTGCAAAATACATTTAAGACAAAAAAGAAATCAATCGTATGACACGACAACGTGTAATTTAGTTAACTATTTTTTTCCTCTGTGACAGCTCTATGATTATCATTCTCTCTCAATTAACAAAAAAAAAATGTTTCTTAAATAAACAGCTCGTTTTATGTATTATCAAGGGTATAAAAAAAAACAACAACTTGTTTGTATTGACCAAAGATAAATGCGTAGAAAAACATGAAAACACCTGATTCATACTTTTGATGTGAAATAGGAATATACGACAAAATAAGATAATGTGTATCTTCCTTTTGTATGCATGAAAAAAACTCTGCATTTTATATACAATGAGATCGGAAAAGCAAAGTCAGAGACTTTTCTTCTCGGTTTATTATTCTCTATTTTGCCGAAGTTTCAATAAAAGATAAGTTGGATTCATTGTTTCTGACAAAGAATAGTAAGTCCTGGATACTACAAAATCCCTAAACAACTATGTCGTGTTATAGTTCTCTCTCTTCATCATCTAGTATTAATAACGATTTATCCTAGCGGAAAAACACGAACAAAGAATGAGGGAAGCAAGTCTCGAGATCAGCGCACATTCGTGCACTCACAGAAAGTGATTCATTAGAGGAAAAAAAAAGAAAATAGAGACGACGAGAACGAACAAACTGACAAGCAATCCTTGAGTTGTAAGAAAAACTGGCAGTTGAGAAGATAGAAAACGACGTTTGAGACATTTTTTTAGTCTTCAGAAGTTTTTCTTTTTTTTATTATAAATAAGTTATAACTGGTTACATGCCTGCAGCATACCAAACAAAAACAAAGAAGAAATTACGATATATATATATTTATATATATATTGCTTTCTTTTTTTTTCATTTTCATTAATTACATAGACAAATGTAACAATTAACAATTTATTCATATCAACGTTAACAGAATTTGCACTATCAGGAAATAAAAAATTCTTTTTCTTTTTATACCTTTTGCACTCAAAAAAAGGAATTAGATTAAATGAGTCCATATGAAATTAAATAGATCGTAACTGCCATGAGAGACATTTGTAGATTAGTAAATTCACAGAACGGTCTTCAGGGAATATAAAAACAGTCAAAGATTTAGTGCAACAAAAAAAAAGCTAGTGTCAAAAAAGTCAATTGAACCATATTTATGTATTGTCACAAAATATGAATATCAACTTTATGAGTTTCTTTTTTTTCAGAAACTAATAATAATAATAAATTAGAACATTTATTTTCCAGAATATAGATGTATTCAAGCATATATATGACATGATGATTAGCATATTTGAGTGAGTTTTATCTTTACTGTTATGTTTATCATCAGTCGAGATGATTGTTGTTGATCATGAAATTTTCAAGATTTGAACAGTACACGATCAATATACTTAATCAGATCAAAATTATCCTATAAGATTCATAGAAATTCTTACCGTAATATAAAATTTCTTGTAAATCTTATAGTAAGAGTTCTGAGAGCATACTTTTCTTCTAATTTTATAAGATGATATATACAATCTTCTATGATCTTATTGTCTGTTTGTTTCACTTGATTACACCCTACTAATAATCGGAAATTTACCAAAACAATAAGTCTTGTCGATAGAAAAAAGAATACAATATATGCACAAACATTCTTTATAAACATAAATATACGCATCAAATAGTTAATTATTATATTGGATACTACAATAACATTAACGTTCTTCATATACATATTTCTGAACAATAAAAAACAACAGACCGATTTTAATCTAACTACAAAATGCTTTCTCGAATTTTTTCTATTCTTCTTTTTTGTTTTTATATGTCGCCTACAGCATGATGACATCATACGATCGTCAGTGCTATATCCATGTAAGTAGTAATTTTTCTTTTGTATGTGTGCCATCAGTCGTATGGTGATGATAATCGAATAGTCGATGACAAAATACATTGAAAAGAAAGACGGAACAAAATCGATGTCTATTTAATGCTAATAGGAAAAAGTAATCGTCAAAAAAAAAAATTCTCATTGTTTAGTCTATTTGACCCTTTCGATTCATTGACATTACGAAGAAAAATATTTTGCTATTAAAAGAACAAAAAAAACAGAACACAGAAATAATGTTCTATATCTATATTAAAGTCATCAAAATGTCTCTTAGCATAAAGAGTTTTATGACAAAAAAAATGAACATTCTTATAATCAAAGAACAACAGATAATTCAAGTTAAAGTCACCATTAATAATAATCATGAGTAATGCGCATATTGACATGATGAAGAAAAGACAGGAAAAAGAAATACATAAACATGCAAATCAGTAATGACATATGACATCTGAGCTCTGTTCATTGATAAGACAGCAGGTTATTATTAATATATAAGACATATTTATTGAAAGCATACATAACTATATAGATATAAGCAAGTCTCTAGATGATCAACTTAAATTAGTCTTGATTGATGAGACTTCAAAAAGAAAACATATTGTATTAGTATTAACAATCACTCGAATGATTTTTAATATTAGAATTTTGAAAAGATTTTGATGATAATGTTGTACGAATATTTTTTGGTTTATCATAATGAGATTGATTTTCTTGAACATGAGTAAAAGTATTTTTTAAACGTTCAACATTAGATTTTAATGCTTGTGATAGATTATTATAATTATATTTATCTGTTACAATAGCATGAATTTCTTCAACAGGTTTTATATTATGTAAATCAATATCATCTTCACTTGATGGTGTATGAGATCGTGAAGAAGATGATGGAAGTGATTTATAACGATTTATTATTGGAGAACGATGTTGTTTTGCTTTTAAATATGGTTCAGATGGAGATATAATATCTTGTTCAACACTTTCAGATGATATTGATTCAGAAGGTTTGCTATTAATATGAATAGAAGTGATACAATTATTACAATTTGACATAGATGTATCAACAATAGATAAATTTTCTAAAGATACTCTATTGAAATGACTTGATTGAATAGGTACAGATTGTTCTGTATTAATTGTAATAGTTGTCCAAAGATCATCTTCATTATTACGAAATGATACATTTCGTTCAAGATGATTATCAGATATTATTGGATTTATTGTTTCTTCATTTTCTTCATTCTTAATGGAACTAGTTTCAATTTTTGATGATGTTGATGATTCATCAGGAATTTTAACTAATGGTATTTCATCTTCAAATCGAACTGAACTTCGACGTCGTCCTATAAATGGTATTTCACTTGTTTCATCCATACTTTTTCGTTCTGAAATTAAATCTGTTTGTGTTTGTTGTTCAACAGGATAATACATTGAATGACGATAACATAAATTTGTTGGAACTGTTCCATTTTGTTTAAGATGATTTAAACGATGAAAATATTCTTCTGGAATAGTAAATGGTCGATATGATTCATGAAAAGATTGATGACGAGGACGAGGACGAGGACGAGAACGACGACGACAACAACGATGAAAACATGGACAACATATACGTTGAAATCGTGAACGTTTTTCTATTTGACGATATTGAGGAATTGAAGGATAATAATATGGATAAAGTTCAGGAGAAAATTCTCGATTATAAGTATAATTCATTGGAGGATATCGATGTAAAGACTAAAAACTCGGTAATAAAATTTTTAAAGAAAATTCTAAATTTACCTGTGAACGACTTCTATCTGTTGATTGTTGTGAAATTTGAGATTCATATTCACTAGTCTCTTTTTCATTTTTAAGTTGATGTCGATGTGCCATTAATTGATTAAGAAGTAATTTCAATGTTTCAGGTGATTTTTTTGGTTTAGAAAAAAGTTGAATTCCACGAACAAATACATTTAATAGTATAGATAAAGTTGTTAACCATCCACCTAGAATATTGAAAAAGCAAAAAATTTTTTTTTCATATACTATTAATAAACTTTCAAGAAAAAATAAAAGAATTTCAATCATACCAACAGGTAAACTAAGAATTTTCCATCTTGATCGACTAAATATTGTTGCACCTGTTGATGAACAAATATTTGTTTGACTATTTAAACAAAATTTAATAACACCATCAGTAACAATTGCTGTTGCAATAAGTATTATTAAAGCAAATATTAATATACATAATCCAATAGGTAAACGTAATAAACGTTCTGTTCGAACAACTCGTCGAAAAGCAATATGAATCCAAAGTGAAATAAATGAAAGAACAAATGCAGAAAGATAAGCAAACGATGCAAATTCACATGTATAAACATCACCCCATACAGTTTGTCGATCGATTGTTTCGGTAGAAAAATGTGTTGCATTATCAAGAAGATAAAGTTTAGCATACAATGGACATCTAATGACGTAAAAAAAAAAGCATACATACACAAAGAGATTTATAATGAAACCTTGAATATGTGAGCTTACTGTTCAAGTAATTCATTTCGTAAGATGGCAATAATAATAGCTGTATAAAATGAAAAGAACATAATAATAATATGTAAAAAATCAATAGCACGCCAAATATGTTTATCAACTTGACGTATCCATGGACGAATTTTTATTGCAGATGATGATGAAATACTATTAGATTTTGAACGAGATGTTGTTGAATTAGATAAAATTTGTTTGTTTGGTGGTTCAATTGGTAAATTCATTTTATTTTATAATATTAAACTGAGAAATTTTCAAATGAAAACAAAAAAAAAAAACAAAGAAAAG